CCAACTTTTGTGTACATACGTAAGACGAGTTCGAAAAGAGATTTGCAAGAGCCGAGAAAAGCTTACTTGGTTTGCCATTTCCCTCGATCGTAGCTCCGATAGCTCTCAAACTAAATCAAATCGCACGTTACACGCGCTGCCTGAGTAGAGAAGGCGCTGAAAAACATATAAGCAATCACCGTAAAAAAAAAAAAAAAAAAAACAGCCAAATCAAGCGACGATACGAGTTTTTCTGTTTTGATTGCAACCGAATATGTGCTATACATTTTTAACTGACTTTTGCTCTCTCGCTCTTGGTTCAATGTTTTCTATCAATCTTATTCAATTAAATCGTGGAACTCAATGCTCATAATTATTTGCACAGAAGTTAATTTCAAAACATTCCTTTTTTATTTTTCTCGTATATTAATACTTATATTTTCAAATCCAGTATCATTTTGAAAACATATTCAGCTATTTTTTTAAGGATGGAAGTTTAGCTATAACCAATAATTTATTATTTTTTCTTATTATAATTGTTATGTACTGTAGGACAAGCTCCGGAGGTTGTCAATGAACGTATGCGACTTTAAGATCTGTATCACTCAAAGTTCCCATAGCTAAGATGGTTACAGTTTATGCCGCTGCTCGCATTGTTCTGTCCTCTAAAGATCGATTCCAACTGCCGGCAGATTTTTTTTCTTTTTTTTGTTAATGTGATTTATCATTCTGATTTAATTTTTTTTTTATGTTTTATTTAAATTTATAAATAATGTTAAAAACACGAGCGGCGTTGCCTCAGTGGTAAGCGTGCTTGTTACTGACACAACGCAGTTCTAGGGGTCGTGGGTTCGATTCCTGGTGAATATAGATTTTTTCAAAAACTGTTTTCATCAAGAAAAGTTCCTATGCAACCCCGGCTGTTTCGGGGTGGAATTTTACGTGAAATTTTCCTATAGAGTAATTCCAGGGTTTTTTCCTTGTTCCACAGGTTTTCGGGCCTGGGTGAATGCGAAACAGTGTTAGGGCTAATAGGTCCGATGCCAGGCGTCGGGCAGGGATCGCCGGCCTTACCGGCGAGGAGTGGTCCCTGAAACATGGGGCTTCTTCGGCGATGCTAATTATCTTAGATCCAATGCTTCGGCAGAGAGTGCCGGCTTAACTACCGAGGAGTGGACGTCCTGGAATATTGAGTCCTCTCCAGGAAAAGGCTACACAGTGGCGAGTGGACCCGATGTACCATTGGTGCGGAGAGTGTCAGCGTAACTGGCAAGGTGTTCTACCGGAGATATTCACCATGGATTCAGGTAGCATATCAGTAAAGAGAGTTGGAAATGGGTGTGGCAATAAACCCCCACACATAGGTGGTGAGTGGGTGGCCCCAGCGACTAGGTCAGTAGGCTGTCGTGGTAACCTGGTA